CATTAAAATGCCAGTTTCTTTATGATAACATTATGTGTAATTAAAAGAAGAATAAGAAAGAAAAAACGTTATAATTTCGACTTATCCTATAATCTATTACAAAATGAGTGTCAAGAAAACTAGCTTTACCATAAACTGGACCACCAACTTTTAATGCCATTGAAGACATTATTTGCATTTTCGTCAATGAAAGTATGGTAGCGCTGTTGCTCACTAAGAGTTGCGTATGGTCCTGCATTCTTTGCTTCAGCATTTGTGACCTTTGTATCGATTCCATCACTAAACGTTTGTCTCACTTTTTCACCTAGCTCTTTCAACCGTCTTATTTTTTCCCGGTCTGAAAGTCCCTGGTTTGACATGATGACTATTAAAACCTTTTTGATATTATAAGATAACTACTCAATGTTTACAAACATACCTTTAATATTCGTACTGTTTTATTGTACTTTGTACGAGAAGATGATAGTTTTGGTAGCTTAGTAGTATTTCGTTTATTTATGAAGAAAACACAAGTATTTATAGGACAAGAAATGGCTACTTTGGTTATTTCCATCTCTTGTAATACAACATATTCTAGGAAAAATCCATAAGTGATATCCTTTGCTTCTTTACTTGGAAAAATATATTTCGTTTCAATATAAGTTAAAAGAACAGAAGAAGAACGAATTAAGATAACCAAAGGAAATATCCCATATGAAGATATATATGAAAGGAAAGGATAAAATTCCATATAATCATATATGAATGAAACAACCATATGGATATATACGTGAAAGAGAAGCGAGCAAATAATGTATATGTTCGTTTACATCTAGTTCGAAATTTAGAATATCTTTTTTGAGAACGTTTACGGCGTACGATAGGTGCAAACCTTTCTTGATGAATACCTCTCGCTAAAAGGAACAAATGTTTTATATAAGCAGGCGAACATTCTGGAGGGTGTGGGTGTTAGTAGTGGTGCTAGATGAATACAGTATCCATACCGACACTCACACCCACCCTTTCAAATAGAAGTTTAATTCAAAAAAAAACAATTCAATTATCATAAATGTGTAGATAAAATTCAATCACTTATTAAGTACAAAGTTGATAATTACTATTTATTTACGTGAGATAAAAACTATACTAATATATCATCGTACACAGAGTTTTCTTAATTAATACTAAAGATTAAAGTAGTTTTGTTGATAGAAATCATATATGCATAATCAACACCTAGATTTCGATGATAGAATTTCCGTACATGTTTTTCTATTTTATAATCAACATTGTTATTGACATTATTATTAATTATTCTTTTCAATCTAGCTTTTTTTTATCGAAGACAACATACAATAATCTTTCAACTTCTAAACTGTAGATAAAAATAAATTGAATATATTCATTTATCTTTCTAGTAAATCGTATTTCAATATAAAATTCGAATTCTAAATAGTAATATTCTAATTTATTTCTAAAT